GGGCGGAGGAGCGGAGCGGCGCCGCGCTCACGGCGCACCCCAAGCTGCCTGCGGCGGGCGCTGTCCGAGGTGCCGAACTCCGCGGTCGCAGGGTGCGCAGGTCCTTCGCTGCCAGTGTCGGGGGTCGGGCGAAACCAGGGCGGTAAGTGCTTCTGCCACCATTTCTCTGAAATGCTTGCTGCATCTTCTTTACGATTTCATGCACATTTTCAGGATCGGAACCTCTCATTGTGCTTCCTTGCAGGTTGCTGCAAAATTGTAAGACTTTGCTCCCCCTTCAGCCCCTGCAAAAATCCAGACACCTGTACCCAGCCCCCCTCCGCACCATTTCCTACAACAACCCAGGTCCCTGTGCATCTCATCCCCACCCGTTAATGCCAAATTAAAAAAAAAAATTAAATCCGCCTTCCATCCCCGTCTCCCACAGTTTCCTGTGATAAAATCAGATCCTCCTACCTCTCCCTACTGCCCGTGCCTCCACTGCAGACACCCATCCTTGGAGCTGGAGGTGCCTCCCCCCAGGTGACCAGTGGAGACCCCTGCGATGCGCTTACCTAGTGGGGATGCTCACCGAGAGAGGCCCCCGGGGTCCAGGCCACCAGTAGTGTCATTTCTCCCAAAGCAAAGTCAGGGTGCACCCTGCACCCCGCCCCCAGATGCGAGCTGGCTGCTGGAGGGCGCTGAGCCCCGGAGCTGGGACTGGCGGGTCTCGCTGAATGACTTGCCCAGAACTTCAAGATTCATAAATAAGATCTCTGCGTCAGTTCCTTCGTATCACTCCCTGCTCCTCCAAGTTGCAGTGGAAACAGGAGAGGGTTTTTGTTTGTTTGTTTGTTTAAGAAAAAGAAAGAAGCGTTAAAAAAAAAAGCTAAGATTCGCCCTCGGTTTCCAGCCGCTGGTTCAAAGGTCTCCTGCGCCACCGCCACCGGCCTGGGGTTCTGCCTCTGCTGGCTCCACTGGCGGAGTGCTGCTGCCCGCTGGCGCCCAGAGCAGCTCTCCAGGCGCGGCGGGAGAGGCTTGTGTTTGTTTGTTTGTTTAAGAAAAAGAAAGAAGCGTTAAAAAAAAAAGCTAAGATTCGCCCTCGGTTTCCAGCCGCTGGTTCAAAGGTCTCCTGCGCCACCGCCACCGGCCTGGGGTTCTGCCTCTGCTGGCTCCACTGGCGGAGTGCTGCTGCCCGCTGGCGCCCAGAGCAGCTCTCCAGGCGCGGCGGGAGAGGCTTGTGTGGGTGTGTGTGCTGGAAGGAAGGAGGAAGGGGGGTGCGGGGGTGGGAGTGCCTACCTGCCGCTGTGGAAGAGGGGCCACCACCCTGCCCTCTTGTCCCCAGCTCTGCAGGGATCAAATTCTCTCAACGACTTAGCATGATCCTCCTGGAGCTCCAGAGGTGGGCACTGGCTGGGCACAGCAGGCGACCCATGGGGTCTGGAGAAATGACAGGCCTCTCCCCAAACTAACAGGGGCATCTCAGACCATGGTGGAAATGTGAACTCATGGCTCCTTAGTTCTAATTCTGCAGATCCGCTTCCTCAGGCTTCCTTCCTTAAGGCCCTGGGATCTGAGCACCTCTGTCCACAGAGGCAAAAGGAGAGGAAGAGGAGAGGGGCTGAGTGGGATGCTAAGACTCTGGGCAATCTGATTATCCATGCTGTTTCCCCGGAGGTCCTGCCTTGGATTTCATTCAAACTCCCTTCTTCAGTCCACCCCCATCCTATTCCTGACTTCCTCATGCGATCACTCCCCAACCATTTTTCTTTCCATTTTACAAAATTAATTCATGGCTGCCGTATATGATTTGAAACATGGTGCTGTATTTAGAAAGTGATGACCCCCTCTACCCCTACACGGCACCCTTCCCCTGTAGCAGTTCCCCAGGGTAACCTGCATTTTTATCTGGGTGTATGTGCACACGCAGGCACTGTTTGTCCTACAGAAACAAAAACAAACACCAAAAAAACTACTTCTTGAGTCATTTATAGTTTCCTTCAAAACTGTCCATCTCATGTGCATCTTCAAATTGGACGGCACAAAGTTACAAAGAGCGTTGCCTTATAATGTTTTCATCTCCCCCGAAGTCACTCGATAACCCCTCTGTTTTTGTTGCTAATATTGTGTGTTTGGGTTTTCTATCACCTCACTTTCTGGGGGAATCACCGATTTCATCGATCTTTTAAAAGCCTAACTACTGTTCTGGGAGTTGCTTCTGTCACCATCCCTGTCTCTGCAGGAGCGCACACACCCTCTCACAATGTCTTAAAAACCACCAACAACAAAAACATGGGGTACCCAACTCTCCCAGGACACTCCAAACTGCTGAGGCCAACTTTTCCAGAAAAGCGGGGGAGGGGAAGGGGCTGTCTCCGGAGGTGACACAGTGACAATGACCTGAGTGGCTGGAAACCATCTTGGGCTGCCTGGGGATGGAATGAATTGATTGCAGGACAGAATCTACGACGTCGAAAAGCCTGGCTTCCTCTCAAACAGGAGCGAGCAGGACCTCCAGAACTTCCTAACCGTCACTCCATTTGGGAAAACGGAGGCAGAGGCACAGCATCAATGATATTTTTAGAGCCAGATTCAGGCTCCTGTCTCTGCTCTGGTTCTTTCTCCTCACTCTAAAGAGACTGTTTGGAAGGAGGTCATCGCAACACAAATTCATCAATATTATGATTGCTGTCTTTCTTCCCACCCTCTCCCGGAGACTCCTACGAAAACTGTTTTTATCTTTTCAGATTTTAAGTACTTTGTAAAAATCCTCAGCCAATATTTCAGCCAAAATAAAAGTCCCCAAATTGCCACTCTATCCCGTAGGAGTCATGGTCATCAGGGTTCCTCTGAAAGGCCTAAAATAGAGCCCGTGCTAGCAGTTCCCTGCAAGGAGCGTCCTTGTTTAGCTAACCTAGTTAGAAGCTGTGAGCTTATGCTTTTGGGTCCTGTGAGAGCCTGGTGTTTTTAAAATAATCCTTGTCTGAAAACCTTCTCTTCTCCCAGAGGAGGCTCAGGATATGCAAATTTCCAGGAACTGGAAATGAAGAGCTGGCCGGTCTGTGGGGATGCGGCCCTGGCCCGCAGAGCCCTGAGGGGCACTGTGCAGGCTTTGACAGGGCAGCTCCGAGCAGAAGACCCGGAAGCTGCTCCCGTGGCCTGCATTTCTCCACTGTGGTGCGGGCAGGTGGAGCCATCTGCCTCAGTGTTCTCCAAAGACCCCCTTGCTCCCTCCCTGACATTTTCATCACTGGCTTTAGAACAACAAGGGCTGAGGACGGTGCCTGCATTGGAGTCTGATTCCTGCCAGACCTGGGACGGAAATGGGAATGTCTGTCACCTGTCCCCGAGAGCTCACCTGTGATGGTGAGGCCGGGGGCCGGCAGGAGAGGCCCTTCTCTCAGCTGCACAGCTAAAGTCTGGTGTCTGTGCCTCTAGTGGCAGAAGTGACCAACTCCTCCCGATTCACCAGGGACTTTCACGGGTCCAGCACTGATCAGTGACGTACCCAGAGAACATTTCAGTCCTGAGCAAAGCAGAAAATTAGTCACCCGAAGTAACAGTGCACAGCGCCCTGTCCTCGGAGCTGGGAGAATCCTGATGAGATCTTAGAAAATGTCCAATTGAAAACAAAGATTCCATGTGCATGAGTCAGTTATTAACCAAACCCCATTAGGAGGTGGCAGAGGGGTGAGCCCAGCTACAGTTTCAGCTCCAAAGAGCCAAAGACGAGACCAGGGACCCTGCACAGGACACCGGCTGCTGGGAGTGCGGGGAGCCTGTGAGATGCAAGGGGCAGAGCCAAGCGGAGCAGGCGTCCAGAAGGGAGAACGCAGGATAAAGTGCAGATGGACACAAACAGCCCTCTGTAGGGAGAGGGGAAAAAAGAGAGTCGAGGACACGTGGGAGGAAGCTGGGTTCCTCTGCATTACAGAAGCTGCTCTTACACTCCAGGGCTTTTAAATAAATTAATTAACTGATTTTAATTTGACCAGAGAGGGACAGAGCCAAGGCAGGGGGAGTGAGAAAGCAAGCCACCAGGCCCAGGACTCGAACCACGGTCGGCTATGTGAGAGTCCAGAGCTCTTAACAACCATGCCACCAGCCAGCCCCGATATTCCAGCTTTTAATTTAGAACCAGGACAACGTTGCCTGTAATTACGAATATGAACTAGGGGCCAGGTGTGCACAGCAGAACCACACGGGACCTACATGGCAATGTCTCAGGTCCGTACCCTGGAGTCTCCCTGACCATGACAGGCAGTGTGGACATGTGTGCCTGTGACACAGGCTCGCTGCAGCCGGGGCTGGTCCCAGCATGTGGACCTGTTGGCGTGCCTCTCTCTTTCTCTCTCTGCTTTGCAGGTTAGGACCATTTGGGAGGCGCAGGTTCAACTCCTGTTCCAGCCTAAAGGTTGGGCACTGTGGTGGGCACCTGTCAACCCAGCAGCTCTGGGAGGCTGAGCTGGAAGCTGGTCTGGGCAACATATCAAGACCTTGTCTGAAAAATAGCCAGGAGAGGACCAGCAGTTAGCGTAATGGCTATGACGCCGGACTCCCATGTAGTCAACCGCAGTTTGAGTTCTGGATCCGGCAGCTTAAACTCACGCCGGGCACATGTGCATGCATGCCCAAGATCCAGAGGGGAGAATGGAGGAGAAGGGATTGCGGCATGGCCATCCCCCCGGGTGTGTGTGTGTGATTTCTTGCTTTTTGTCTCTCTGTCTCCCTCTTTCTTTCTGGCGAGTGCACGTGCCCTATAGCAAAAAAAAAAAAAAACCTCTCCAAAAAAATAAAATAAAATAAAATAGCGAGGAAGGGCACATGAATGTCATGCCAGTGGGGAGGCTGAGGCAGGAGGACCCTCAACAAGATGTGGCCCTATTAACTATGTTACGTGTGATACTGGTGTGGGGATTATTGAGACAGGAGTTAGGGCCAGTGAGTAGGGACACAGGGCAGGGACCCCAGGAAGAGGGCAGCCATGTTATGTGTTTTTTTTTTCTCTTTTTCCCTTTTTTTCATAGTCACCAAGTTACTCTGACCTGTAGATATGAAGATTTTGGTCCTAAAGATTTTATGACTCCTTGCTATGCGAATTAATTAGATGAAAAAGCAATTTTCACAGCCCAGGACACACAGATAATGTAGGAGCTTTTTCACAGACACCTAAAGGAGGTAAGACTTCATTGTATATATTTTTTTCTTTTTTTTTTTGGAGAGGCTTTTGCTATAGGGCGCATGCACTCGCCAGAAAGACAGAGAGAAACAGAGAGACAGAAAGCAAGAAATCACTCCCCAGGGGGGAAGGCCACGCCGTCATCCCTTCTTCTCCATTCTCCTCTCAGGATCTTGGGCACGTACACACACGTGCCCAGCATGAGTTTAAGCCACCGGGTCTGGGACTTGAACCGCAGTCGACTACCTGGGAGTTCAGCAACATAACCATTACGCTAACTGCTGATTTCATTGTATTTTTCATAGCTGCCTACTCAAAGCGAAAACAAAATGAAAAAGTGTTAAAGGTCAACTCTGGGTCAGCCCCATAGCCTAGTGGTTAGAAAGCTGGATCCCACATGGCCATCTGCCATTTGAATCCTGGCCCCAGTGACTTGAAAAATACACCAGGCACAAGTGTGTGCATGCCCAAACTCCTGACAGGATGGAGAAATGGAGGAGAAGGGATCTCTCTCTCTATCTCTCTCTCTCTCTCTCTCTGTACCTCTCTGACAAGCACACTCACCCTTTGGCAATTTACAAAAATAAAATAAGAAATAAAGATAAATAAAAAGGCCAATTTCACTTAAGAATGTACTGGATGGAGTAGTAAAAAAATTTATTATTATATCTTAACCTCTTAGAATACCTTTTTAAGATATTTCATGTGATGAAATGCCCATCTGCCCCTGTCCATTCCCTTCCCCCAGTTTCTCACTCCAAAAATTCAACCACTAATGCAACTACTGCTTTGATTCCTTTTGAGATGAGTCACTGACACTTTAATAGGGATGTGATTCTGACCCTTTCCAAAGATAGAAACCAAAGGAGAGGACAGGGTCTGTGCGAGAGGCATTTAATTTAGTTGGAGACGCACTGATTTGCCAGCCCTGTACGATGTCTAAATGGAGGTGTCCAGTTGGGTGTTCGGGTCTGGGGTGCAGGAGAGCATCTGATTAGACGTAGAGTTTTGGGGACTGCCCACATGGACAAAGCAACGAAGCTATGGCTCTGAGTACGTGGGTGAGTTCAGCCAGGATCTCGGAGAACAGAAAGAAGTAGCAGAGGACTGAGAAACAAATATATTCAAGAAGAAAAAGGTATGAGGGAGATCAGTCAGCAATGGGCAGAGAGTAGTAGGGAGTGAGATCAGGACACGGGGGCAAGGGGGTTAGAACCCCAGCAACCTGGTGCCAGAGTCTGAGTTCTCAACCGTGCCATGATGCCTTTTTCCTAAAACTAAATACTCTTTGCATCGATATGCATCCCTGTAAATAAATGTATGTAAATAAATGCATAGACACACATGCACGTGCATGTGTAATGCATCCGAGCACATCCATATGGAGAAAAGGCCAGAGGGCGAGATACAAAGAGTGGTTTTCTCTGGGCAGTTGGATGATAGCTGCTTTTCTGTTTTTCTAAATTTCCTACAAGGGTAAATGACTTGTTAGAAGAAAAATAGGAGTTATTTTTAAACCACCCCGGGGAGGAGACTAGGGTGACGGCGTGGGTCAGGGCCCCTTTGTTCAAGTCCTGCCTTCTGAGAAAGCCGGAAGTGGGGGGAGGAGGGAGGCAAGCCTGAAGGGTGAGTCAGCCAGGGTCTTTCAGCACCACAGACAGCACCAGACAGGACCACAGGAGTCTCCTCGGTTTTCCGGGTGTTGGGGCTACTGCTCAGTACCCAGAGCCAGCTTTCTTCCTGGGGATTGCGAGCTCCTGTCTCTGCTGTCCCGAGGGACCGGGACTCGGGGTCTTAGCCTCTCAGATCTCAAGTCCCCTGGCCTCCCAGAGGAGAGATGAACATGCTGAGCTCCCTGACCCGACACCGGGCACGTGTTCACCCAACGTCCCGACAGGACAGAGAAATGGAGAAGGGATTGCGGTGTGCCCATGCCCTGTTGTGGGGGGTGCTTTCTCCAATGAAAGAAAGAAAAGAAGTGCCTCAGCCAGTGAGGTGGAAGATGTGACTCTGAATGGGAGTGGCGGTGGATTTAGAAAAATTACACAAAGAAAAGTGGGCATTGGGTGGTCCAGGCCTCTCATGGAGATCACCGTGGCACTGAGCTGTCCCTAAATTTATTCTTTTATACAGCAGTCGGGGAGGGAGAAGTCAGGTATTTCCTACTGTCTGCTGCAGCTGTGGAGCATCTTACATCCCGCGGTTCCAAACAAGCCTCCCTAGCCTTCTCTGGGTGGTACACGGCTTCCTTCTGCCTTAAAGACCACTAGTTTTTGCCTGGATCTGACTGCTCCCTACAAAGAAAGAAGGAAGGAAGAAAGGAAGGGCAAGAAAGAAGACTGATGGCCTTGTGCATACACCTGCCATCCGGGGCCGGTGCTGAGGTTCCCAGGCCTATGGGGGTGCTGGCCAGTGAGGGCCCCTCCAGCAAGGCTGCAGTCACTCTCTGCAATGCTTGACTTGTGTCACTCCTTCTCCTCCTGGAAGGCTACCAGAGAGGAAAGGACCAGAGTTTCTGGCCAAGGCCGCTGGGGTGTACGTCTCGTCTCAGGCATCCTGTCTGAGGGTGGTCGTGGGCCGCTCACTCGTCCTCTTACGCCTCAGCAGCCCCTTCCATGAAGTGGGGATGACTACGGGTTCAATAAGAGGTGTCTAGAGGAACTGCCTCCTCTGCCTCCATCTCTGTGCCCTGACTCGCGTCTTGCTCGGGAAGCCTCGCTCATCCCATCTCTCAGAGACGCCTCGTTGGCTGATGCTCTCCATTGGCCACGTATTCACTTGGTCTTTCGTTCAACAACTGTGAACCAAGTGTCTGCCTTCAGGGCGTGGTGCTTGGTGCTGGGGATAAAGGAGAAGAGACTCCCAGCCCCTGCCCTCGAGGAGGCACAGGCAGGGATGGAACTGCCATAGACAGAGGTGAGCCTGAGCTCGTGGGCACGCATGCGCCCTCACCTCGGCCTGGGAAGGCAGGTGCAAGAGCTGGTTCTGCAGGGCGTCCAGGGTCTGGGGATGCGCACCATCACAGCGACATCAGCACTGAGAAAGCCTAAGTGATACGTCTGTTCCCAGACTTCGCTGACATCCCTAGAATGCCAAGAGGAGTCAGAGACAAAGCAGAGGTGCGGAAGTATGGGGGAGGGGCCATGGCATGACCACGTGATTGAAGACGTCAACCGGATGCTGACACTGGGATGTGCAGGGGTCTGTGTGTTTTTCTTTGTGTTTTAGATTTTTACCATAGGGCACATGCCCTCGCTGAGGAGAGACAAAGAGACAGAGGGGCAAAATGAGAAATCACTCCCTAGTGGGGAGGGCCACGCTGCAACCCCTTCTCCTCCATTTTCACCTTGGGATTTTGGGCGTGCACACACACACCGCACACACACACGCAGCATGTTGTCAAGCCACCAGGTCTGGGACTTAAACTGAGGAGTCGGCATGTGGGATCCAGCACCTTAACCACCAGGCTACTTGCTGGCCCACTTTGGCCAGGGGGTGTTATTCTTTTTAAAGATGTTGGCTCTAGGATGAGTGCACTCTCCAGAGGGAGACAGAGAGAGAAGAGAAATGAGAAATCACCGCTCAGGGGGGATGGCCACACTGCAATCCCTTCTCCCTCCACTGTCCTCTCAGGATTTGGGGCACATGTTCACAAGTACTTGGTGTGATTTTTCAAACCACCGAGTCTGGTTCTCAAACAGTCAGCCATGAAGGATCCAGTGTCTTAATGACCACACCGTCTACTGGACCAACGCTTTTGTGTTTTTAAAAAAATTATTTAATTTTATTTATTCATTTATTTATGTTAATTTGACCAGAGAAAGACACACACAGAGAGAGAAGGAAAGTGAGAAGGCAAGCCACCAGGTCTGGGACTCAAACTGGGGTTGACCATGTGGGAGTGTTCAGTCCCTTAACCACCACACCACCTGCTGGTCCCAGCACTTTTGTACTTTTAATAACTTGATTTGATCCTTATAACAGACTCACACAGGGAGGTTTTCGTTATGTTTTTTTTTTCATTTTGTTTTAATTAAAATCTCTACTTTGCAGATGAAAAAGCACAGAGAACTCGCAGCTCTGTCTCTGTTGGTAGAAGGTAAGGACTTAATACAGGTCATTTTGGGCCTGGTACCTGGGGGACTGAGTGAGATGACAGGGCAGCCGGCGTCTTGAACACTGTCAGAGAGGACACATCTTTCCCACTGGTTCTCATGCTGCCATGGTGACAGTCAGTTAAAAATAGTTTAGTCATAAGTTAAGGAGCCAAGTGCACACTGGTGTCCGCAAGCTCCCCGAAGTCTGGATGGACCAGCAGCAGGGCCCATTCCATGCCAGCAGAGGGGGCTTCTCATGCCAGGGGTGTACCACATCCTGGGGGTGGAGTATTTTCTTATGGCAGCAGCCTGGACTGACAGACGGGGCACAGCCTGCAAAGTGCTGTAAGCAAGTGTAGGAAGCCGGACGACTGCAGCAGCCTCCTCACTGCCCCACTGCCTCCCTGGTCCTCTACACAGCCCTCACCCAGAGCCACTGCCTCAAGGCATGTACCACCTGTGTTCATTCATCATTCATTTATCCCATGAGCATGCTCACGCGCAAGAGAGAGAGAGCACCTCCTAAATTTGTTTATTCCATGAGCGAACTCATGCGCAAGGGAGTGTACCCCCAACTGGGTTCCCAAGCCACAGTCCACCCCAGCTTTGGCCACCCCAGATCATGGACCCATGTATGCCTAGTATACTCAGAGAAATCTCCAGGTGAACCAGGAACTTTCTTATATCGAATTGCATCATAAAGAATCCCTTCTTTCCTTGAGAGAGATTTTTGCTACAGGGTGTGTGCACTCACTGGAGACACAGAGAGAGAGCGAGAGAGAGAGAGAGAGAAAGTGAGAAACCACCACCACCACCCCTCCCCCAGTGAGGAGGCCATGTTGTAATCCCTTCTCTTCCATTGTCCTCCCAGGATTTGGGGCACACCTGCACATGTGCCTGGTATGAGTTTCAAGCCACCAGGTATAGGACTTGAACCACAGTCTGGCACGGGAGAGTCCAGCGCCTTAACCACTATGACACCTACTGGCCCCCAGAGCTTTGCTTTTTATCACTACGCCACCGTCTGGCCCCTGCTCCTTGCATTCGACTCCTAAGAGGACTGTGAGGGTCTGCGTGTGGTCCCAGTATGCTCTTCCCCAAGCTAGCGTACAACGGACCTTTAGCAAATAACCCGTATGTACTTATTGAATGAATAAAGTGGTGAAAATTGCTTTAACTCCTTGCTTGGAAACATATATTGATATAGCTGACTCACGCGCTACCAAGCCGTGACACTTTATGGTTGATTAGCACCATACCCTCCGTTTGCCTGTCTGCATCTGGATGACCCAGTTGGCTCAACACCCTCTTTTTACAGAAATTCAGAGGAAACCATGTCCTAAACCCCATGGCATCTCTCTCCTGAGCCCCAAGGCTTTGCTCCCATTACCAGTTTTTCTAATCCAGACATAGAAATCGACTTTAATCAATCATTCTCATACCTAGAATGGTTTTCAGGCCATTTTGACCATTAAGATCATTGTTTTTGGAAGATGCTCGGTGGGAGCTTTCAGACTCTTGCGGGAAGACAAAGGCCCTGCGTTGTCAGCTGCAGACAACGGGAGGATCCTGGGAAGGAGAGGAACGTGGGAATGATGCGCCCGTCCTGTCTGTGCTGCAGGAGAGGTTATTTGCATAATGAGCCCAGCGCATACATTAGCTCCTGACTCTTCGCAATCCTGAGAAGTCGGTGGGTATTATTAGTGTCATTTTACCTAGAACTGGGTCATGCAAGAAAGGACAGACTTTTCCAAATGGTTCCCAAGGGACAGACTTTGCACAGACACACACACACACACTGAAGACACTCGCAATAGCTAGTCAAGCCGTTCAACTGTTCGCCCTTCCTGTAAAAGAGAAAGCATAACCCTCCTCTCACCATCAGGCTGGAGCCTCTTAGACTACACTTTCTCCATCAGTCCCCTTTCAACTGGACTTGGAAGGTGAATGACACTCAAACATGTATCTCCAGCCCGTGTTTTTCTAAATTTCAGACGGTTAGATCCTTTTGCCTGTGGGATGACTCCACACCATGGTCCCAGGCCCCAAATGATACATCCCAAATTAAATGTAGCATCTGTCTGGGAAGTTATTTCCCCCCTTAAATCCCTATCTTGGTGGTTGACACTGTCACCTAGCCAGAGCCAGGTGAGTCACCTCCCTGGCCACACATTCACCCTCAACCAATCAGCCGCTGAGCCCCAACCACTTCTCCTATGGAATAGTACCCTCCTCCCCACCTCTGTAAAACTGCACCTGTGTGATCACAGCAGCCCAGGACAGCTTCTGCCTCTGAGCTCGGCCTCTACACCCCTACCCTAGTCAGTCCTCCAAAATTGCACCCCCAGGAACTTTCTGGGCCAGCCATGGCAACCCTCTGCAGGACATCTGTTTTGGATCTCCAAGGCCATGACAGCCCTGTGACACTGCCCACTCCTCCAGTCTCATCTCCACGCTTCCTGCACAACGACATGGCGGTGCACCAGACAGTCTCCCTCTTGGCAAACTCTGAAGTACACCCTGCTCTCTCTTATCCTGTGTTTTGCATGTCCTCCACCCACAGCTAGAGACTCACAAGACTGAAGCACTCAGTATATTTAAAGTATAAAGAAATCCCCATGCCGGGTTTCAAAAGTGGAGGCGTATTTTAAATGTTTGCAACTAACCCATTAATGCCCTGCTCACGAAAACATTACAAAGCGATGCGATCGTGCTGGTTGAAGTAACTAGTTTAGAGACTACCATAATTCGTACTGCTCTTCCAGCCTTAAGTTTAAGTAACTACCTTGATTTGCTGAGAATTGAGGGTTTTCCCAGGAAAGTCCTTGGAGAACCAGGACCAGCAGCCACTCTAAGTATGGGACAGTAGTTTACAGTCAAATGATGACCTGCTCTCAACTGTGTCCACGTCCCTCTGGGGGCGCCTGTCTATCATGCATAGATAAAAGGCCACACCAGGGGCACTTAGCCAATGGGAAGCTGGGGCCCTCCAGTGCTGCTCCTTGCTGTCACCACCCCCCCGTGCCTCGTTAATGGGCTCTTTGGGGCTCAGCTCACCCCAGCGCGGGTCTGCTGATTACGCGTCCTCGCTCCCTCAGCCCTCCCTGTGCCAGTTGCTCGCAGAGGCTGTGCTGTACTGAGGTTTTTCTGCTTGCCTGTCTGTTTCTTCCTCTAAGCAGAAGGCAACCCCAAGGCCAGGCTGACCCAAAGATGCTCACTGGGCAATGAGTGAACGAGGCCATTTGCATAGCCCACCCCTCCGGTTCCATCTGAAATGCTGAGGGGTGGACAAGATGCTGGGCCCCGATGATTAAGTTTCCTCGGCATCCCCTCCATGCCAGGCCCAAGGCACAGAGCGATGGCTTGAGCACAGTCTCGGTATCAAGGAGCTCAGAACCACTCGAGAGGGTAAGGCAGGTGTCGGAGAAGCCAGGATGAAGGAAGCCGGCACCCTTGGTTCATGCCTCCAATGGTGGGACGCCATCTCTATGGCCCTGAGTTTGACCTGTCATGGTTGCGCCTCAATCTCCTCATTGGGAGCGCAGTACATAGAACTAGATTGGACTCTTCCGGCAAATGCCTGCTTTGACATGCTGTATAAGATGTCACTCTCCAAGCTGGTATTTCGCCACCAGTGTAAGGGAAGGATAGTAATAACATCACAAGATGCCATGTGGATCGATCATGGATGAATGGCACACGGTGCAGGTACCCAAT